TGGTTTTGGGATGCGGTAGGGGGAGGGGAGATTTTGAAGCTTGTGAAATCCACATTGATACCATTGGGCCCCGCCTCCCTAACCTGTTCTTCCTCCCACCTATCCCCTCCTCCCACTCAAGCCGCACCCCCATCTCCTACCTACTAACCTCATCCCGCCCCCTTGACCTGTCCGTCCTCCCTGGACTGACCTATTCCCTCCCTAACTCCCCACCTACACTCACCTTTACTGGCTCCATCCCCGCCTCCTCGACCTGTCTGTTTCCTCTCCACCTATCTTCTCCTCTATGCATCTTCTATCCACCTCCCCCTCTCTCCCTATTTATTTCAGAACCCCCTTCCCTCCCCCATTTCTGATGAAGGGTCTAGGCCCGAAACGTCAGCCTTTCTGCTCCTATGATGCTGCTTGGCCTGCTGGATTCAAATCCATTAGCCTGGAGCCTTGGATTACTAGCCCAGGGACTTTACCACTCTGCCACTGCCTGCCCTTCTACAAATCTATAAGAGATTAAACAATACATAAGTGTAAATTGAAGTTTCCTTATATTACAACTGTAGCCAAACTTCAAATATAAAATGCTTTGTGAAGTTAGATTGGGCCTGTACTCATCTGCGTTTATAAAAAGGAGACCTTATTGAAACGTTGAAGTCTCTTAGGGGGTCAATGTGGATAGTTTCCCCTTGTAGGAGAATTTAAGGACAGAGGGCATAATCTCTGTAAGAATTTGCCATTTAAGAAGCGATAAGGAGGATTTTTTTTTCCCTGAGGGTAATGAATCTGTGGAATTCTTTACCACAGTTATTTTGTGTCAGTCTTCACAGTGGAAGACACAAATAACATGCCAATAATTGATGACAAAGAGGCTATGGCAGAGGAGGACCTAGAAGGACCATTATCACTAGAAAGGTAGTATTGGGCAAGCTAATGGTGTTAACGGTAGACAAGTCTCCTGGCCTGGATGGAATGAATCCCAGGGTACTAAAAGAGACAGCCGGGAAAACAGCAAATACACTCACGCACATATACCAAAATTTACTGGACTCTAGGGCAGTTCCAGCAGATTGGAAAACAGCAAATGTGACACCACTGTTTAAAAATGGAGGTAGAGAAAAGAAAGGTAACTATAGGCCTGTTAACTTAACCTCTATGGTGGGGAAAATCCTTGAATCTATAATTAAGGAAGAAATAGTGAGACATCTGGAGAGAAATTGTCCCTTCAGGTAGATTCAGCGTGGGTTCTTGAAAGGCGGGTCATGTTTAATTAATTTGCTGGAATTCTTTGAGGAAATTAGGAGCATGCTGGACAACAGGGAACCAGTGGACGTGGTGTATCTGGATTTCCAGAAGGCATTCAACAAAGTGCCGCACAAAAGGCTGTTGCATAAGATAAAGGCACACAGCGTTAGGGGTAATGTATTAGTATGGACAGAAGATTGGTTAACAACAGAAATCAATGAGTGGGGATAAATGGGTGTTTTTCTGGTTGGTCATCAGTGGCTAGTGGTGTGTCTCAGGAATCAATGTTGGCACCACAATGGTTTACAATTTACATTGATGATTTAGAGTTGGGGACCAAGTGTAGTATATCAAAGTTTGCAGAAGACTTTTATTAAAATGATTGGTACAGCAAAGTGTACAGAAGACACAAAGTCTGCCAAGGGATATAGATAAGTTAAGGAGTGGGCAAGGGTCTGGCAGATGGAATACAATGTTGGTAAATGTTAGGTAGGAATTTTTGTAGGAGTAACAGCAAAGTAGGCCATTATTTAAACGGTAATAGACTGCAACATGCTGCTGTGCAGACAGACCTGAGTGTCCTTGTCCATGAATCACAAAGTTGGTTTACAGGTAATTAAGAAGGCAAATGAAATAGTGGCCTTCATTGCTAGAGGGATGGAGATTAAAAACAGGGAGGTTATGCTGAAGCTGTATAGGGTGCTGGTGAGGCCACACGTGGAGTACTGTGTACAATTTTGGTCTCCTTACTTGAAAAAGGATGTACTAGCACTGGAGAGGGTGCAAAGGAGGTTCACTAGGTTGATTCTGGAAATGAGGGGGTTGGCTTTGAGGAGAGATTGAGTAGTCTGGGACTATACTTTTTGGAATTTAGAAGAATGAGAAACATATAAAATTATGAAGAGAATAGATAAGGTAGGAGCAGGAAGTTTGTTTCCACTGATGGGCGAAACTAGAACTAGGATGAGGTTGTTGACTTGCTCGCTGAGCTGGCTGGTTTTTGTTGACATTTCGTCACCATGCTAGGTGACATCATCAGTGGAGCCTCCGATGAAGCGATGTTATTTAACTCCGCTTGGAATTTATATTGGTATTTTGTAAACCACATTCGTTCTGCATGTGGTGGGAATGGGGTCTTTAATCTCTGTAAGCATTTGTCGTAGAGTGGCTGTGGGCTTGTGGGCCACCATGATTCCTAGTGGTCTTAGGAGTCTTATTGTCAGTTCCAATATGTTCCTGATGTAGGGAAGTGTGGTCAGTGTGTTAGGTCGTACTGTGTCCTCCTGTTGTTGTCTGTTTTGTAGGCATCTGTGGATGAAGTTGCAGGGATATCCGTTTAAAGCGAGGATCTTGTATAAGTGCTCTTCCTCTTCCTGGCATAATTCTAGAGTGTTGCAGTGTGTCATGGCCCATTTAAATAGTGTCCCAATGCAACTTTGTTTGTGGACGTTGGGGTGGTTGCTGTGGAAGTTGAGGATTTGATCTGTATGGGGTGCTTTCTGTATACAGAGGTTTGGAACTCCCCGTTTGTCACTTGTTCTACCTTAACATCCAGAAACGGAAGTTGATTGTTGGTTTCTTCTTCCCTTGTGAATTTAATTGCTGTGAATATGCTGTTAATGAGGTGGTGGGTCCCTTCTAATTTGTTTAATAATGACAAACACTTACAAGGATTAAAGACACCATTCCCACGACATTCAGAACCAACGTAGTTTACAAAATACCATGCAACGACTGCCACAAACATTACATCGGACAGACAGGACAGAAGCTAGCCATCAGAATACATGAACATCAGCTAGCAGCAGAACGGCACGACAAACTCTTCTTAATATCTGTACATTCAGACAAGGCCAGCCATCAGTTTAGCTGGGACAAAGTACCCATAGTAGCCCAAGCCAAACATAGACACACACAGGAATTCCTAGAGGAATGGTTCTCCATCCATAATAACAAACATATAGAATTGGACCCCATATACAAACCCATACAGATTAAAACCAGAAATGACAATACTCACCATAACGGACTGGGCAGTATAAATTCCAAGCAGAGTACAATAATATCGCTTCATCAGAGGCTCCACTAATCATAGAATCCCTATAGTATGGAAACAGGCCATTCGGCCCAACAAGTCCACACCGCCCCTCCGAAGAGCATCTCACCCAGACCTATTCCCCTACCCCTGTATTCCCCATGTCTAACCCACCTAACCTAAACATGGCCAATCCACCTACCCTGCACATCTTTGGACTGTGGGAGGAAACCAGAGTACCCAGAGGAAACCCAGAAGAGCAGACTTGGAGAGAGTGTGTAAACTCCACACAGACAGTCGCCCAAGGCTGGAATCGATCCCGGGTCCCTGGTGCCGTGAGGCAGCAGTGCTAACCACCGAGCCACCGTGTGGACCCAAATGATGTCACGTAGCATGGTGACAAAGCGTCTGAACAAAAACAAGCCAGCTTGACGAGCAAGTCAACAACCTCATTCACAACCCGAGCTACAGATCTTTGCCAATACTTTAAATTAGAACTAGGAGGCTTAGAACTAGAACTAAAATAAGGGGGAGGAGATCTAAGACCGAGTTGAGGAGGAACTTCTTCACCCAAAGGGTCGTAAATCTGTGGAATTCCATGCCCAATGAAGCAGTTGAGGCTACCTTGTTGAACGTTTTTAAGCAAAGACAGATAGATTTTTGAACAGTAAAGGAATTAAGGGTTATGGTGATTGGGTGGGTAAGTGGAGCTAAGTCCATGAAAAGATCAGCCATGATCTTATTGACTGGCGGAACAGGCTTGAGGGCTGGACGGCCTACTCCTGCTTCTATTTCTTATGTTCTTACAGAAGGCTGTCGAGGCTGGTTTGTTAGGTACATTCAAGGCTGTGATTGATTTGTAATCAGTAAGTGAATCAAGGGTTATGGGAATAAGGCAGGAAGACAGCAGTTGTGGATTATCAGATCAGCCGTGCTCTCACTGAATGGCAGAGCGAACCCTGCAGGCCAAATGGCCTACTACTTCTGCTCCAACAGTTTGAATAAACGCAACACTGCACAAATGTAAGTTACGTTTTTCTGAAGTAAGTGATCTGCTTAACAAAACTTTTAAAGCTGAAGTGGAGTTATAACTTGCCTTTCCCTTCTCTGTGACAAGCTGCCGAAAGTACAACCATCCTTCTTTTCTGACGTCACTGAAAGTCACATCACAAAGTTCGGACGTGGAATGTCGCTTAGACCTTGTGTTTTCAGTATCTTCCAAGTTATCCAAGGACTAAACAGTAAATAATAACATTATAAATAATTGTACCTAAAAATAATGAAAACCAGAACTTTTAATATCTTCTTTATTCCTCATTCTTCATATTCAAAATGTTGATTTTCAGGTGTAAGTGACACTGGTCAGAGTCAGGCAGGAATGTCATTCATGAAGATTGATCAATGAGACCAGTATGGAATCTTAATCTGGAAGTCAGTGGGGGAGGCATTTGTGTGGCAGGTATCTGGTCAGGGCACTGTAAGGCAAATGGAGGCTAGGAGGAGGAGGAAGAGGAGGAATGCTTTTCTGGGACTTTGAGAAATATAGAACTCTCTTGCTTAGATGCAAACTCTTAACTATCCTGGAAGCTATGCTTCCTCCCCCACCTTACTTTTCTGCAATGACCTTGAGCCTAGCAAGTAACCCAGACCTCTTGCCATCTGTCACTGACTTTCTGACTTTTAGTTATGAATCTAATCACTAGCATATTAACGAGGCCCAGATTATAAGATTATTTGGGTTTCCTCTTGTTGCTCGCAGATAGACAGCTGCATTCTTGTCCGAAAGATCAACCTTCCACCCAATAAGTATTAACTTTTTTGGTTTAACAACACGAAATTCATACAGATTATTTAGACACTGATTTTAAGCTTTAACGCAGAGTGGAGAGGTTGAAAAGGAGAGTTCTTCATGGTAACCCCAGCTGCTGTGAGAATTGAACTCAGGCTTTAGGCATCATTTTGCATCGCAAACCAGCCATTCAGCCTACTGAGACCTTAATAACCACAGCTGAGATACTGAAGCTTAAGACTGTCCAGTCTGATAAGTAAGGATAGGACTTTTCTTGTTTTATTGTACTAATGTTACAATTTTCATTGAACATTGTATAAACAATGAGGTCAAAATGCAAAGCAATGATGGGTGTCCCACTAATGTTCCCCACCGCTGATTAAATTTGGTTCACTTCCATTAGTTTTAGGCTTCAGTAATCTAAAAATGAATTCTGTGAAATTTTATGCCAATGCATGATTTATCAGATTGTTCAGCTTCTACTTCCCTGGGAGGAGCTCATTACTTCTGGCCATTGTCAACATCCAGCAGCTGGACAAATGGTTGCTATTTATTTGAGACTTCACAGTGACAATCAGAAGAATATCCGACTGTTAGAAATGAGGCAGAAAGCCATGTTGAATCTCATCCTCACCATATATACACATATTCTTACAGTAGCCATCACTAGTTATTGATCTAGAATGGAAATAATGGATGATTTATCTACCCAAAAGGAATGAGGCCAAACTTATTTCTCCTGCTGCTGTACTGGTTAATGTCACAAATCAGTCCAGGGACCAATTCAATTCAAATAGTGATCCAATAACCAGTGAATTCATCACTCACAAGCAAAGATTAAAATCAATAAAAGATCTTTCTAAAACTAAGAGGTTTAGTACTTACATTCAAATTATATTTTTAACATTCAATCACCGCTATAATATCCTAGGAAAATACTAGTGCTAAGTAAATCTTATACTTTTTAAGGAAAGTATTACTTATATCTTTCAGCAAATCTAGATATCCTGTTAACAAACACATTCTAAAAATTATTTCTCCTTTACAAACTCTGAATGTGACGTTTTGGACTGCTAAGAGAAAATGTATTTAAATAGGGTCCAAATCCTATGGATTATATACATCATGCTCAATTGATAATTAATTAGACTTTGATGTCACATACATTCATTAGTGTTTAATTTGAGCGTAATCACTATAAAATGATTGCACTACAGGAGATCATTCAGCTGTCGAGGCTATGTCAACCTTCTGAAAAAGCAATACTGTTAATCTCATTCACTTGTCTTTTCCCTGTAGCCCAATTTATTTCATTCCAGCTGTTTTTGCAATTACCTTTCAAAAGGTACCATTGAGTCTGCCTCCATCACAATCTCAGGCAGTGCATTCAAATCCTAACGACTTGTTGTAAAAGAAAGTTCTGAAGAAAAGTCACTTGATCTGAACCATTAACTCTGCTTTCTACCCACAAATGCTGCCAGACCTGCTGAGTACTTCCATCAATTTCTGTTTTTGTTTCTGATTTCTACCAGCCACAGTTCTTTTTTTTTTTGCTGCATAAGAAAGGTATTTGGTTCTTTTGCTAATTATCTTAAATGTGTGTCCTCCATCTTGGGAAAAGTATCTCTTTATCTACTCTTTTGAATGCTTAAGGATTTTGAATACTATCATCTCTAAAAGAGAACAACCATGCCTCCAATTGTCACACACCTAGAATCTTTCTCATCACCTTTTCTGCACCCTGTCTAAAGCTTTCAGATTCTTATACAAGTGCAGTGCCCAGAGTCGGACACAATACTACAACTTTATTTTTCATTAATTCATAGGGCATGGACGTCACTGGCTGGCCAGCATTTATTGCCCATCCCTAATTCATCTTGAGAAGGTGGTGGTGAGCTGCCTTCTTGAAACACTGCAATCCATATGCTGTAGGTAGACCAACAATGCTGTTAGGGAGGGAATTCCAGGATTCTGACTCAGTAACAGTGAAGGCAATACATTTCCAAATTAGGATGGTGAGTGGCTTGGAGGGAAACTTGCAGGTGTTCCCATGTACCTGCTGCCCTTGCCCTTCCAGACGGAAGTGGTGGTGGGTTTGGAGGTACAGTCTAAGAATGTTCGGTGAATTTCTGCAGTGCATCTCGTTGATGTCACATACTGCTGTTACTGAGTGTCAGTGGTGGAAGGAATGGATATTAGTGGATGTGGTGTGAATCAAGTAGGCTGCTTTCTCCTGGACAGTGTCAAGCTTCTTAAGTGTTGTTAGGGCTGCACCCATCCAGGCAAGTGGGGAGTATTCAATCACATAGGGGGATGGGTCTGGGTAGGAGGGTCGGTGTGGACTTGTTGGGCCGAAGGGCCTGTTTTCACACTATAAGGATTCTATGACTCACATTCTTGACTAGTGCCTTGTAGATGATGGACAGGCTTTAGAAAGTCAGGAGATGACTTATTCGTTGAAGGATTCCTAGCCTCTGACCTGATCTTGTAGCCACTAAGTTTGTGTGGCACACTCAGTTGAGTTTCTGGTCAATGGTAACACCAAGGGTATTGATAGTGGGGTCTTCAATGACTGTAATATTATCTAATATCAAGGGGCAGTTTGATTTAATTTGGTTGATTTATTAATGTTACATCTACCGAGAAACAGTGAAAAATACTGTTTTGTGTGTTATCCAGTCAAATCATACCTAACGTAAGATCAGAGTAATAGAACAGAATGCAGAATATAGTGTTTCAGCTACAGAGAAGGTGCAGAGATAGGTCAACTCTAATGTATGAGAGGTCCATTCATAAGTCTGATAACAACAGAAAAGAAGCTGTTTTTGAATCTGTTGGTACATATTATCAAATTTTTGTATCTTCTGCCTGACGGAAGAAGGTGAAAGAGAGTATAACTGGACTGGGAGGCTCTGAGTATTTTGGCTGCTTTCCTAAGGCAGCAGGAAGCATAGACAGAGTCAATGGAATGAAGGCTGGTTTTTGTGATGGGCTGGGCTGCATTTACAACTCTCTAATTTCTTGTGGTCTTGGCCAGAGCAGTTGCCATACCAAGCTGTGATGCTTCTGGAAAGGGCTCTTTCTACGGTGCACCTGAAAAAATTGATAAGAGTCATTGTGAGCACGCGGATTTTTCTTAGCCTTCTAAGGAACTAGAAGTGTTAAAATTTCTCTTATTGGAGATTGTCATAGCCTGGCATTTGTGTGGCGCAAATATTACTTGCCTCTTGTCAGCCCAAACCTGGAAATTGTCCAGATCTTGTTGCATGGACTGCTTCAGTATCTGAGGAGTTGCAAATGGTATTGATCATTGTGCAATCACTGGTGAACATCCCAACTTCTGAACTTATGATTGGAGAGAAGGTCATTGATGAAGCTGAAGATGGTTGGGTCAAGCACACTACCCTGAGGAACCCCTGAAGAGATGTCCTGGAGATGAGATGACTGGCCCCCATTAATCACAACCATGGTCCTGTGTGCCAGGTATGACTCCAATCAGCAGAGACTTTGTCCTCTGATATGCACTGATTCTAGTTTTGTAAGGGTTCCTTATTGCCAGACTTAGTCAAATGCAGCTTGACATGAAGGGCTGTCGCTCTCACCTCAACTCTGGAATTCAGCTCTTTTGTCCATTGTAATGATTGGAACGAGGTTGGCCAGGTGGATCTCATTGAGTACAAGATCCCTGATTAGCCGATCAGGGAGCCCTGGTTGACAGATATAAACAGGAGTTTCAGAGAGTCTCCTCACTCTAGGGATTAGCTCTGAGCTAGCTGATAAATAAACGGTGACTTGATGACAGGATACCTGCCTCTGTGCAGTTATTTCAGTGGTGACAAGAGAAGACAGTATGCTCCTAAAGAAATTCACTCACAACAGCTGTCTTTGAGCTGGGGTAAGCATTTCTGGCATCATGCATTTATTTGGGAAGCTTGATTCCTTGGGTCCTGTCAAAGACTGGGCCCAGTATGTGAAAAGAATGCTTTACTCATTCTGGGCAAATGGCAGTGTGGCAGAGGGAAAGCAACGAGTAATTCTTCTGACTGCTTGCAGACCCACAGAATTTTCAGTTATTAAGAGCCTATCTTTCCCCGAGGCACCAGATACTAAAACCTTTCAAGAGCTGATGGATTTAGTGAAGGAATATAGCTCCCAAGCCTCCTCTGTCAGTTTTACTCGGCAATTCGAGAAATAGAGGAATGCGAATCAGGACTTTTTTGATGTGGTTGAGACGACTGGCAGAGGCATGTAATTTTGGGTTAACCATGATTGAGATGCTGAGAGATTGTTTGGTACATGGATTAATGACATAACCATGCAAAAGTGCCTACTAGCTGAAGCCCGACTGAATTTTAAACAGGCACTACAATTGACTTTGTCATTACAAAATGTGACAAGTGCAGCATGTAAGCTACAGGGCATTCCAATGGAAATGACACCCTCAC